TGAAATGCACTCAAAAGGTTTCAACCTTTATGCTCAACACAAAGCCTTCCTATCAAGACAAAAGGAAAGTTGCTATAGTTCAAATGTACCATCCACCCAAACTTAAGAAAGGGGTCAACAAAACGCACCATGAAACCGTAAATCACAAGAGAACACTAAGCTTTTTATTGGAGAAACCATGAAGAAGACTTGTCAAGCATAACAATGTTGAAACTCACAAATGACAATATAAAAGAAAGAGTTCATCCACCTCTTAGTTAAGCGGTTCCGCATGCTTCATGAGTTTCCAACCAAATAGCGCCAAAAAAGAAAGAAAAATTCTCAAAGGGATTTCATTAAACACCTTGCAACGACAAGATATGAATCGCATGAGACCTATTTATACTAATGAGGTGAACTTCTCCAACAAACTTCTAACTTCAATCACTTTAATTTAAGCATGCCATATAAAATTTTCTTCTTGACCACTTGACGAGTTTGATATTCAACCTAGCTTTCGTTCTCCAATATGTTGGCATAACGAGCGAAAGAAGATAACATTCAATATGATACCAAATTTCATAATAAAGGGAGACATGCTCAAGAAAAGAAATAAGAGAAGAAAGGGTTGCATTGCAAGATAATAGAAGTCAACCACAAGACCAAAGCATTAGTGTAGGTGCTACAACAATTATAACTCATGAGACCTCTCATGCTAGCGAAACTCCTTTTATTGCAAGAAAGAGCAAAAAAAGTATAATTATCCCATAACCATGACTTCCATATAAAGACAACAAGCTCAAATAAATTTAGGATGTTTGCCACCACACTAGCTTGACACCTTTTTGAGCAAGCCTTTATACTATCTCCAATAGGCATTTTAACAAACACCTCATATGCATGCTATGGTGGGAAATCAAAAGAACCTCCTATGCATTTTTTTTACACCTAAGCTCTAAACATAAATAAATGCGAGCTCACAGATTAATTAAACATCTCAAAACCAAATAAATCAATACTGAATAAGAATGTAAATCAATTGATGAATCTCAAAATCATCCATACCAATTAAGAGTGAACACACTCATTTGGAAATCAAAAGGAGAAGGGGTGTGATGACATACACACCCCAAGGCATCAATCCACACTTAAACTTAAATAAAAAAAAAACTCTTCATAGATGTAACTTACTGCCAAGTAAAAAAAGAAATTACTCATCCAAAAAAAAATCTTGATTCTCATGAGAAGAAGTCATGATGGCTAATGGCAGAGAAAAGGGGTTAAGGAAGAGGAAAGAAAAAAAGAAAGGAAGAAGAATAAAGAGAGGAAGAAAAAGAAGAAGAAAGAAGTAAAGAAGAGGAAGAAGAAGAAGAAGAGGAGGAGGAAGAAGAAGAAGAAGAAGGAGAATAAGAAGATAGGAAAATACTCACATTGCAAGGGCTCGGGATCGGTCCAGGCGTCGGGTCGGGTGGCTGCCATCGGGATCAGTCTAGGCGTTCGGCCCTGGCTCGAGGCGTCGGGACGGGAGAAGGCGCTCGTCGGTCAGGTTTCATGAACAAGAGGAGACCCGTGTTGGGATCCTTCCTGGCTCGCGAGATCGGAAGAGGGAGAGGGGTCGGGTCTGGCGTCGAGGCGTGCGTGAGATCCAGAGAGCGAGAGGAAGAGGGGAAGTTCGGGATCGAGAGTTTGGAGAGGGAGAGCGTTCGGGCTGGCTTCGTGCGAACAGAGAAGGGAGAGAGGGATCGGGCTCTTCAGCTCCTCCTGGTGTGCGTGAAAACAGAGAGAGGGAGAGAAGTCGAGTGTGAGGTCTCCCCTTGTCACCGTGAGCAAGAACCGGATCAAGAGAGACAGGGCGCGGGGAAGAGAGAGCGTGGGAGCGAAATTGAGAGGGAGAACGTTTTTGAGAGCCGGAGAGGGAGAGAGCTAAAAGAGCGAAATCCAGCCCAAAGCCTTCGTCTCGAGTAAATTGAGTTTGTCACCGAAAGAGGAAGCCCGCCAAACGTCGTCCTCCTGCTCCAGCTTCCGAAAGCTTCTTAAAACGGCTCCGTTCTCCGCTCGAGGTCTGCTCTAGCCGCAGGAGATCGCTGAGACGCGGGATTTCAGCCGAAATGGGGATTTCATTTGATCGGAGCCGTTGAGATAATTACCTGATTAAGGAAGTAAATTCAAAATGCATAGAAAGTCAAATGGATTTTAATAGGATTAAATTGAGCTGAATTAGATTAAAATGGGCTAAGATCAGGTTAGGCTCGAGTTCGAACTTGACTCGATTTGAATCAAATTGGGTTCGAGCCGGCTCAATAAAACTAATCGAATGGAATTGAATTCAATTTAAATAAAACAGAGTGAGGCGCTACCAAAATAAAATGATCGAGTCTAATTGAACGTAGTTGGGTCTAATCCGGCTCGAGCCGAGTCAATTCGAACTCGAATTAAACCCGACGAGGCTCAATTAAATTGATTAAAGCTCCTCGAGGCTACTCGAATGAAAAAACGAGGTCAACATATGTCTATGTTGATTATTGTAACTCCCACCATTTATACGCTCTATATGATGTACGTTTGTAACATCAAGCTAAGGCCTTCTCTTTAAGAAAGGCCTCATTTATAATCGACTGCAAATACTAGTGGATTCGTTCAAACTGGGCCAGGCCCCGTGGTTTTCCCCCTTTTTAGGGGTTTTCCACGTAAAAATATTGGTGTATCATAAATGTTAGACCCTCTCTCTTTATCTGATTGCATGCCAGATTTTCGTACAACGCTAAGATGTTAAATCTTATATTTCTCTACCGTCACGAATACTCCTGGACGTAGCAATAGTTGTGCTATTAAATTTATAATAGATTTATTTTAACTGGACTAGGTGCCATAGTATTTCTTGTGAGAGGATTTTCATGTAGAAAAACTTAAAGTTTCTTGTGAACCAAAGTCTACCAATTTATATATATGTAAGACTTTTTCTTAATGTTAAGAGAATAAACTCTATGTATATATACTACTGCATGGTTATTGCAACACACAACACACAACCCTTAATTTGAAGAATTAAATCTAAATAATTTAAAATAATTCTATGAATATTGAAATGAGATAATTAAACTAACATAATAATCATTGTAAATTAACTAGAGAGGATTCAAATCCAAAATTTATAGTTTAATTAGAAACTTCAATTAAGTGGCATTGGTACAAAATTAAGTAGAGAAGAAGAAGATAATAAGGAAATTAGATGCCTTTTAATTAATATATTTAATTGATATTATTCTCAAATATATATAAAAGAATGTATAATGGGAAGTTGTAGAAAGAGTAAAAATGATTTTCCATTCAATCTCCTTGCCTTAGTTTGTTATCAATTAACACCCATGCTTGTTATGTTGAGTTGTGTTTGATATTGAGAGAAGTAGTATAGTAATTATTTAGAGAGGTGCAAAATTAAATAGCATTATTAATCCCTTAAAAAATTAATGTTCCAATCTTAGAATGCTATTTTAGTCCTAAGATTCAAATATCATGAGATAAGAATAACCTTGGTAAAGATGTCAACAAGTTGATCTTGAGTTGATACATGAGGACAAGTTTAGCCTTGGAATTGATGCATTTTATGATGAATGATCATCATTTTTTTTTGTTTAGTGTGGCATAAAATCTAATGCCCCAATATCTAAATTGGAAGAATTGCGTGTTTTATCATTTAATCAATTAACTAAAGCCCCAATATCTAAATTGGAAGAATTGCGTGTTTTATCATTTAATCAATTAACTAATGCACCTAATAATGTTGCAACTCGAGCTCACGAGTTTATGTTTTTTATGATAACAAATATTGTGGCTCATATCCTTATATCTAATTGTATTTGTACTGTATATTTATTTGTGTATGTACTAACATTTCAAGAATGTCATACACCATCCAAGAAGATTCAATTCTCAATTAAGATTGTGTAGAATAGGTTATACTGTAAAGATTTTTTTAATATTTATTGATTTTTTTTAGTCAAGTCTTGTAAGGGTGTATGCTAGCTTGGTGATCATGCATACACACA